GTCCAACGCCTACTTCTTATCCCTCTACATCATTTTTCAAATGCATGTATCAGCTTTTAAATCAGAGCATCGGTATCTTGGATGAACCTGATAAAGACAACTCTAGTGTAGACGTTTTCAAATAATAAGCTTTGAGTGAAACAACTGACCGTGTCAACAATAAAATAACGGAAGGAAATATAATTAGTCTTGATGATATTGAGTTAAAAATAGGTTGTCTTCAATAGTAATGTATAATCAAGTGACTAAAAATGGAAGTTCCAAATTTGTATTGATAAGATACTTCGACGACTCACTTTATAATATTGACTGTCGTTAATTCGAAATATTATTTTCCAGTGATGAGAATTCATCACAATAAACATTCACAATGGACTGATTGTTGATTGCAGTAATCACGAAACCACGTATAAACAATACTACTAATTTACAAATAAAATATTCAGGAGCTCTTATAAAAAAGTCAGTTGGTTCAGTTGAATGAAAACTATGACGCGAATAATAAAAACTGAGTTTAATATTTAATCAATAAAAGTGCATTAGTTATTACATAATCAAGTATCAGAATTACATGAAGAAATTTAACAAACTACAGAAAAGAACAATGAAATCTAAAGTTTTTCAATGAAACATGAAATAGAAACAACCGTGTCAGAATATTTGAAGTGAGTTATCAGATGCTTATATGAATCATTCATTACTTATTCTTTTGACGTACAAGTATCTCCAAATAAAAACACAGATGCATACAATTATTAATGATACGAATAATGGTATCACGATATATAAGTAGTAGCGTGATGAGCTCTGACTATCCACTTTACTTAATTCGACAGTGACATTCTAAAGAAAAACGAAAAAAAGTAGCATTAGTTACAAAATAATAAATATTTACCGAGTATTGGTCGGTTCCTTTGGTAGTTAATTTGACGTTTTCAGTCGACTGAACTTCGGTGCTCATCAAAGTGCCTTCACTTGGAATGGTGGGTGTTGGTTTATTCACTTCGTTAACCTCGGAGTTCTTCGAAATAAACAAAACAGTTGCATTCATTTAATATCATCAAGTTATTCATTATACACTAATGTCAGTAGTGATGACAGAAGAGGATTCCACAATTAGTTATACACAGTTCGCATTTGTCCAATCATTTGAACGTGTAGTACCGATCGGACAATCAGTGTGATAAGTACACACCATTCAACAACTAATTGACGACTCGTATGTGTGATGAAATTTGTATTGTGGCTGTCACATCTAATCACCATTCGAATATAAATCAATAAACTGAAAATTAACAGCTTTATTGAAACAATCTTTCCAGGTTCTCAATAGAGATTCAGAAATCATTGTTCAACAATGTGAGTTGACAAAATCTCACCAATTCTCAAAACATCATACACATTGAATGAAATGAAAAATTATCATGTTTTTAAGCAATGATGTGAATTTGCGATAAAATCCATTGTTAACTGTTTCCCTAGAAATAAAGCATTCTACTTGTATATGATTAGAAATGGTCAATGTACACAAAGCTTTAGTTCAGTCACTCAGGGTAGAATACACGTCAGTTCTTATTGGTAGAAATAAAATATTCTTTCGAGTAGATGTATTTACTCGCAATGTGGAATTCGTTCATATTGAAAACAACCTGATATGTTTAACAAGTAGTTACCTCGACACGGCAATCAATAACTTTCAAGTCATCAGTTTTTTGATCGTTACTTCCAATACATCTTCTAGCCTTTTCACACCAAAAGCATTTTGTTTTTTCAGTTTGACATGTTTCTTCCGTATTGTACTTCGTACAGTATGCTATTAAAAAATAAGTTTATTTCATTTCAACGGTTAACTGTATTACAAACATGTAACAATAATGCAATAATGCGATTGTGATTTTGGAGTTAAGTGACTATTTCATTCACTGGAATACAGTCATCACATTGCATAATGCATTATTTAGTACTTTTTCAGATTCGCTGACATTTCACAACAACATGTTTGAATTGAATGAAACTGCTTGGAATGTCAAGTATGATGGACGAGTTTTGTTAGTTGAATTTATTGGTTTTCAATAACAGTTTGCCTTCAAACATGTACACACGATGTGGTCATTGAGTTCATCAATGCGCACTGCATTTGATTTTCGATGGTTTTTATAGTGTTTCGATATTTGATATTGGTGAAATAAAGTCAGATGTTGTCAGATTGAGAATTCATTTTCAATTGCGTTGATTCAGTTGACAGACTTGGAAAAATTGACGATTTTCTTGAAGTATATGGCCGTATTATATTCAACAAAAACTGAAGTTTGTTTGATCATTGGATGATGGAATGATTCTCTCGGTAGTTGAAGTGTTATTTTAACACTTCAACACATTGGTGACTGAAATCTGTTTATAGTTACTCAATTTACATATTCATGAGAAGGAATGCATTTTCACACTGTGAAATTAATTCTGAAGTCAGCTATGATAAACTGTAATTTGCAGCCGTCCTATAACTATGCCTTCAATGTATCGGACAAGTGTAACGAACCAGAGATTTTAATGTTGTTTTATATTGTTTTTACAGTAATGACAAGCACGTAGAGTGTTCCCTTAAACTTAATACTTAGATTAAATTTGATATTACACATATTGAGTGAAAACATTAGACACTTCGTCATCCATGCATCATCAACTAATTGACACCTAATCTTTCTCAAGACAAATATCATCTCATCTATTGTTTTATGACAATGTGTTTAAGTTAATTTAATCTAAATGAAGACTTTAATATTAATTCGAAATGGGCCTGTTATCATTTGTTACATTCATTCATGAATCGGCGTGTAAATATTAGTTGTAATTGAAATGTCGATTGACACACTTAACTGACCACAAATACACATAAAATTGTCATTTTGTTTAAACAATAGTCAAATCATCAAGTGTGTAAATAGATAATGCTGATAATTTAAGGTTTAACATACTTCCGATAACTTCAAACTCCACCAACGTTCCGGTTTTTGCCCGTTTTTGAGGGATAAATAATTGACGTAATACAGCTTCTTTTTTTTTTGTTCCGTTGTACTATTTAAACTTGGATTAATTTTAATTTGGTTATTTGTTCTCTGAAGAAGTGACTTACACTAAGTCACGAAACGTCAGAAAATCCAATTTTCTACTCATTGGGATATTACAAATATATTATTTTTATTTTTATTTGCAGCTTCTTTTTGATAAATTTAACAGAAAAAGACAATTAATAATTTTGATTTGTTTTAATGTTTATCAAGTTGTTTGCATAATTTAAGTTGCGATAAAAATAAAAAAAACATAAACATTTGCCAGAAAGGATTATGTGAAGATCGTTTAACATCTTCAAAAATAAGGGTGTACTATACTGAATTTTGCAATTGATCAATGTTCAACCAGTATGTCAAAATATGAAGTCGATAAATGTTCTGTGTTATTTTGCGGAGAAATTAATACAATCAACATTTCACATTTAAAATTGTAAATAAGCAACATAGAAAGTTACAAATCAACAAAGAATGATGACTAGCAGTGGATTCCAATGCGTGCGCTTCGTCTAATGTAGAACTTGTCAGCTGAATATTCCTGAATCTAACAGGCAATATACATTTTCGCCTACAAGGCTTGTGACGTAAGGCAAATTTTAAAAAAGGTCTATAAACTCAGCTACATCTTCCAAAAACACATGATCATTTCAATGAATCATGTTGATTGAGCAGTTTATAAGGAAAATATCGATTTCAAATACCACTCGTTTATATCTGTCTCATTCAAAACACACATACTTTTGCATTGAAGAATGATATAACTGAGGACTGCAAGTTTGATTATTGTACTGTTTGTGAATGAGTAAATGAATGTAAATATCATTTCGTTAATACGGTCATTCATACATAACATCTCCCGTTAGTCAATAGGTCACCATTAGCATGAAATGTCTCCAAATAGCCATCCAAGCTTTTTCAATAAAGACGTTCATTCGTCCTAATTATTTCACACAACGAAACCGGTTGAGTGAGCCTTAGCAAATATATGTTTGGTGATTTACTTCACTGTACATCAAAATGTTAACAACATTAGTTGAAATGTTTCTTACCGGTTTTACACTGGAATAGACGGAACATTTGTGCTGAGATTTGTTGCTCAAATTTTGTTGGAATCTGGAAAAACGTATTTGAATTTCAAGTCAAAATATGTCAACGCACAACCCTTTATAATAAAACCAATTATACTTAGGAGTGATGTGTCATCACTGAGATTATCTTACTTAAAAACAACCAGTCACACTTACATTAGGCATACTGATATTCCCAAATTTTTTATCATGTGTGTTCCACCCAGTGTACATAGATATTTTGAATCATTCCAGTCGTCAACTTCAGTGAATGTCGATTAACTATCTATCTATCTATCTATCTATCTATCTATCTATCTATCTACCTATCTATCTATCTATCTATCTATCTATCTATCTATCTATCTATCTATCTATCTATCGTGAAATGTGTGATGAATATCTACGTCAGCTGAAATGAAATGTGTTTGTGAATGACTGCATGCATTCAATGCTCAAAACATTCAACAGTAAACATTCCGAATATCCGATCATCAGAAGATGTAAGAAAACTTTAAAGTATACGCTTGTTTCTGTATAGAACTATATAACATACACTGTCTGTTACTATTTCGTATGAACACATCATTTCTTTTGAAAGCAATTGACTTCTAATTATTGGTTGTTTTAAACAAATGCTTGATTGAAGTGTGTCATCAAAGTTTTGGTAGTAGTGTCAAGCAGTTTAATTGCACATTACAAAATGTTGATCACTTTCTAACGTGTTGCATGTAACTTGATACATTCGACAGAATTCATTACTTTGAAATGTTAGAATGATCTGAAATACGTGAAATAAAATTACATTTCCATTCAATTGTTCAACTTACTTTCTCATAATACATAGATATCTTTCCATTCGGATACATCAGAGTGATTACACTGCCGTCATTGGCTTACAATGAGAAGGTAATGTACACATAGAATTTGAAAAAGAAGAAATAAGCAAGTTATTGTTTGATGTAACACTGTGTATGCCTATTCACAAAATGTTCACTGTGCCATCTCAAATACTTTCTTCAGTTGAATTCGTAATAAATATTTTCAAGTGAATGAACGTCATGTTATAAAAAACAAGCATTCATTCTTCAACATGAATGTTGAACGCTTAGTTTGTGAAGCAGTATTATTATTGAAACAAATAATCATCAATGTTCTATTTAGATCTGATGGTTGGAGAGGTATCAAGCCTTAGTATATATGACATGAAATATGGAGTGTTTGTTTACGATTGGGACTTGTGAATTCAATTGATTGGGTAACACTTCAGTCGATTAAGTGATTCTGATCATAACGTTTATTTAAAGTAGAACAAAAATGAGATAAGGACTTAAAACATTGGTGGTGATTAATTTATTACTCATCAAATCTAGTCTTCTTCATTTCATTTCATTTGTTCTCTAAATTCTAATCAATGTGACTAAACGGTGACTGGATTTCACCCATGATTCTGCCCTTTTACCAAGAACAGCAATATATTCTTAATTTTTCAGTTTCTGAGGAGAATCGCATCACGCAGTTTGTAAGTAATCACAATCAGTGAAGATGTAAGTGTCTATATTTCACATATGATCGAACGATCATTCAAAGTTGACTTACCTTCAAGACTTTTTCTCTCTTTTCTGATAAACCATCTGATGGCGAGAAATTCCTCTGAAATAATGAAAATCAAGCTGGATGTTTAACTATCTGCTTGCACAATATCTATCTCTTTTGATAATTGTTTATTTTAACACGGACTGCCTTTGCATACAAATTATCATCTTCATTTTCAGATTTAAATGAACCAATATAGTTAAATGCTCACTAATCCCTTAAGAAGAAGTTTCAATAGTTATTATCATTTCAACGATATGATGAAAGTTTCAATACAAACAACGGAGAAGAATATTTCACATACGTATCATTTGTTCTAGTAGCTTGAGATTGAGTTAGGGATCTTTAGTATATATCTGACAATACCCAAACAAAACCATATTTGGAGATTCTGTTATTCATCAGTTTTCATAACTGACCGAAATGAATGTATATTTTATTCCAGTAAATTGTCTAGTACTACCAGACCGTTCGTGGTCGTTCACTGGTTAACTGTTACAGGTAGTGCCTGAATTCGAAGTTCACAGCCACACAAATATTATCACAGTGATGGAGATGAATGTTCAATTGTCATCAGACAACAAATCAGAGACATTAAACTTTCAAAATCTGGTTAATGCTAGAAAAGTATTGGAGTAGATTGAACAAACTTAAACAGTTCATAGACTTCAATAATCCAAACTGACTTCTCTCACAATATCAGTTTTTGTTGTACATGTGGTCAGTTTGATTCATTTAGCCTACCAAGAATTATTGTGTCGGTGAGGTGTCTTCTTATTTGTAGTATCGATAGAATATAGGGTAGGTTATCTTCACTTTGACAATAACATCACCTGATTTATCACTTCTACTCAATCAACGTGTATTTATTTTGCAGTGAATCTCTGTTTTATTTAATATTTTCACTTGACAGTGTTGTGCAACACAAACAAACAAAGCAATCATCATGTGGTGGTCGGCTTTCGTGTATTAATCAAGTGAAAAACTGAATCACATATGCAAAATAAATGTGAGAAAAAGAAACGAAACAAGCTAAAACTGAATGGTGAATGAACTCACCTTTATCCAAAAGCTCTACTTTAGGTATTTCGGCGTCTATAGAATATTTAATTTGTCCCAGTAAATTGTTTGCGAATATCTGTGATCCAAATTGGTTCTCTTCATAAAAAAATGCAACATGATTGATAATTTTACATTGAATGAATAAAGTGCTTTGGAAGTAAACTAAAAACTTATATGAATTTGATGAACTGTCTTTGGTTTGCTGTAAAGAGTCACATTATTTTTACAATTTGATCAGGAGAAGATATTCAAAGAAGTTTTGAATCTCACAAGGAGCATAAAACTATTTCCTTATAGAAGTTCAATCAACTTCGATTCATGGAATGAAATGTACCAAGAAGACTCAGAAACCATTTTAGTCCAATAAAAATTATTCACTTACGTTTGTTAAACTTCTGAATCTTAGAGACAGCAGTATCGTAAAATTTGAGCGAGGATTTCGGTGTAACAGACTAAAATGATGTAAACATATGGATAAGTAAGTCTACTACAAAATGAAGTCAACTCACTCCAGTGAGATCAGTTAGATCAAAACTGCCATCCACAATCGGATGAGGTTGATCAAGACGAATCCTTTGTGAATATTGGTAATGAAGAGACTGTTGTGTGCATTAGAATCTGACTAATTACTTACGTAATGATATGAATCGTTTTCAACAAGCGTATTCAGATAGTCCAACAATTCAAGTTCTTTACAGATATCTTGACATTCAAGGAATTTGTAAAGCAATACGATGATCGAATAAAGTAGTATAGATAGACTTGACGAAAACGTGAATCTAAAATGGTTGAGATGAAGAAAACAACAATATCTCATTGAATCAAATTTTAATTTCTATGATACAGTCAATAACGTCAAAAGTGTAATCAACAATTACCTCATCTTCTTATTCAAGTTAGTTAATAAAATTTAACTGGAAATTGTCCGGTTTATATAGACTTTTGAAGTGCTTGGTTGTTTCTTTCTGATTTGATGATTCAAATTAACCAATGAGAAGATCAAATTTTATAAAATCATATGTTTATTGTTAACCAATGAAGGAGATAGATGAAATGATCGTTATTCAATATTCTTCTAGCTATTGTAAACAAAGAGCTGATATTTATGCACTGTCGGTTAAAATTGATGACCTCCTTTGAAGAAACCTCACTTGGATGTAATTTACAATACATACAATACAGGTCATTGATTAACTTGTGGTTCAAAATGTTTGCTCGTGTGATTACAAATAAACAGTTTATTACTTGTTTTAGGCTGTCAAAAGACTGTGAACCATGCGTTATTTGGATTTGATTGTTTGAAATCAAAGTAACACAAACTGTTTTGATTGAATGTCGAAATTAAAGCGTCTTCACTTGAATTTTATTTCAATAAAAAAACATTTTTTGTCAGTAGATTAAACCATCGTTAAATATGAAATTGTAACTTCTGAACAAAGCCACATCCATTCTATCTGACCATCATATATATTATACCACTGACTGTTAACACGTGTTCAGATCAACAGAGATAATATTTTTCATATTGATCACATAGAAATTAAATTGAATTTTTTCCGTAATATGAATTGAAATCGTTAGTGATTGTATTCAAAGAAACACAATGCAATTCATTAAGAGTGAACTGTTGAAAATTGAGAACAAGTTGTTGAGTCAGACACAGTTTTGTGGTTACAATAGTGATTATTGTATCAAATGGTAACTAATAAACTTGTTAATTCACAAGAGGAAGACCGATTTTCATTAAGGAATTTCATCGAATTATTTCCACATAACACTTAGTCTTGTATTCATTGTTATCGGCGTTAAAATATACGAGTAAATCACTGTGAAAAGATAAAATCAAGTGTACACTTAATTTGCGTTAAACATCAAAGACTGATGAACGAATAAAAGTTGATTTCTTGTAACGAATTAATAAATTCAACATAACAAGTCTGCAATATTTTTTCCCAGGTAATAATTAAATCAATTTATCCCGTTCGATTTCAGATTTTTAATCTACTCAACCTATATCGGTACTTGTCAGTTTTTCTTCACTCTTTTCTCTTTTGTTATAAAAGAAACTTAGTGAAATATCTTGTGCTCAGTATTCTATAAAATATCAATCATATACTATTGAATAAAGGTGATGATCATAATAATATTGATAAATCATTGTCATAATTTCCCAAAGAAATTTCATGCGGAGAGCAGAAACGATGGTCATAAATTAAATGTTGAGCATTACCATTCTCAGATTCATCACTGTCTACTAAATGCCATGCGGTTTTCCCTAAGAGTCATTTAAACAACATATAGCTTACTTGTGGTGTATTTCAGAGTTTCTTCTCAATCCGGACAGAGATCATTCTTTTATGTCCGATATCAATCTTCTCCAGTATATCTTCAATAAAGACTAATACATTTCTCGAACGTATTATTCATATATGACTAATTTATTGTAGAACATAAACGGCTCCAAATTCTAATGTTAACCAGTTTCCATAATTATTGAAAACGTAAAGAGTATTAGGTATGATTTAATCTGATGTATAATGTTCATTGTGTTATCGGCTTATAAGTTGAGGTTGAATACTCAATATACAGTCACGATTGGACAGTGTGGTTTTGAAAAGTAATTCGATTTTATGTCGCTTAACTGTCTTAAATTTCTCATTGACATTCCCATCGATTCATTTTTTACACGGAAGAACGGATGAAAATATTCACAACATTGCAGTCTCAATCTCACTTGTAATCTGAAGGGAAGTAGTAGTAATTATAGACTGTGGTAAAATAGAGGGACTTCACAGAATGATCAAACAAAAACAAACTTGTTGTAGTGAAGCTGAAAGGAAATGAGTTTGAAAGTGCTAAAATGTAACTTGCAGATTTGAGTGATCTGAGAAGGTAGAAAAGTTTACTCCATTTTCCATACTCAAGAGTTGAAAAAGCATGCACTGATTACACAAGTGATGATAAGCTAAATGCAATTCAACAAACAATTTCAGAGGATGGCATTCAACCTATCTTGATTATTTACGGTAATTTGAAACCGGGATAACAAGTTGAAAAATTTCACACAGTTTCAACGAATTTTCAACTCTTGAATATGAAACTCAAGGATGAATTGCGTTTTGGGATTTAGAGAATAGATTATCCACATCAATCAAAAGCGCATTATAATCTGCAGTTTTTGAACTATTTACTTTTACAAGAAAAACATTCGCGGAAAATTAAAGGGTCGACAGATAACTCGAACCGCCTAAATATTAATCGACGATCATAAGAGCAGCTGATAAAAATAGTGATAAGATAAATATACTTGCTTAAATTCATGCCTATTGACAGTCTTAATTTATGACATGAAGGCAGATAGTAATGCCAAATAACAGTTCCATATTCAATAACAAGGATTGTTCAATAAATCAAGACCATAATGCATCATTCCGATCATTCCGATGCTTTTAAACTCGATTAGTTAATGCGTCACACTTTTATTGACTATGTCACTGTGATCAATATTCCGGATAATTACACTGGACTATTTGCCAACTGTGTATTTGTGTTGAATATTGATTGTAGTTGGATATTGTGGTAAGGTGTGAGCGATCACATTTTGCAGGAGATTAAACGCGTTTCGAAATGTCATTCGGTTTTGAGATTCATCTTGATTTTGCAACAGAGTTCAAATGAATTGTTACGTAAGGAAGCATTTGTAGGTGAATACTTAAATAGCCTGTTGTCTATGTTTGTGTTTATAATCCCAAATTTGTCTATTTAGTTGACGTTGCTGCGGAGTTATCTTGATTGATTTAAATCCTGTTCGGTGTTTTTATAGTCTGTAGATAAAATTTCGCAAAGCCAGTTTTCATGACGATTGGTATAGATCAGTGATGTGTATCCCCACTTCTAAAGAAACCATTACTCCTCACGTGATACAAACTCAAGTTTGCACAAAGCGAATTAACTACTAAATTACCCGTTGATCTGACATCAAATTGAGAGTTCTAAGCATACTTGATCATTTTTCCAAGATCACCCTACAGAAGGTAACTGGTGAAATTCGTCCAAATTTACAATACATTCATTTGTTGATATTGCCTTACCGTGGATAACTAACTGACAAATATTTACCATTCAATTCTTTCTTCCGTGACATAAATTATTTCACTATAATAGATAAATTTATCGTTACCTGATATTGTGGATTAATACATCCTAATGCTGACCAAGTGTCGGTGTTTACTGAATATTGATTAAGGTGTACATTCCAGTGAAATAAATTTGTACAAAGAGAAGAAAGTAAAAGGACATGAATAATTCAAATGATTAGAATTTAGGGAACACAAAGAGTGGATGCACAGAAGCCATTGCAAACGATTTGGAGCTGTCATTCAGGGTCTCTTACCATCGAGTGCTTTCATCTCGCGGTCTCTAACCAGGTAGTCTACACCTACCAACATGGCTTCGTACGCTTGTCAGTGACTTTACGTATTTGTGCTATGCTTGGGTGTGACCGCCCCCCAGATTTCTTCCAACCTACTCAAGTGCCATTGAACATTTCACATCGGGGCAGTCAGTTTCTGTGCATACGTAACACGTGTTCTAGCCATCTCAACTGTAGAAGTTATTCACTTCATCAATGATTTGCCATCCTCATGTAGTACTCGTTTCCTAACAATTGCATTACTTACTCGGTGGTCTCAGGATATACGAGCAATGTTTCTAAGACACTAATGATCAAATACCAGTAACCTACGAATATACTCTACTCTTAGCTTGACTACCATTGGGTAGGACCATGAAAGACTGCCTTGCAGCTACTTTCCTACATCCAGTAAGACGCAGACAAGTACGCGCTCGCACCAGAGCATAATCTGAATCTGAGAATGTGTTCTACAATGAGCGACAGTCTTCTAAAGACCCCCTTCACCGGTGAGTCTATTTGTGTCAAACTTTGGGACGAATTCGGGTGTCGCCATCTCAAAAGGTGTTTTTCCTTATGCTTAAAGTTAGAATTTGCAAGAAACAGGCGTTTATCTGAGCATAGCTACAACAGACGTTGCAATTATCTGTTATTTAAGCCACGACACTAAATGTCAACTAAGGTGTTTTTCTTTTTCGCTTCGTTTACCTACTTGTGAATTATAAGCATCAGCCTCTATTACTACACCAGAGCGACAAACTTTTCGGAGAAGTTCAAAAAGCTTTCTGTAAAATTCATCTTTCCCATCATCTGAGACTCAGTCCGTGTCTGAATATGCAGAGACGACGAAGAGACACCGACGAGTGTCCCCACCTTTCCGAGTCCTTACTGTTCCGTTTAGTTGGACAGCGCACAAACGATTGTCTAGTGAGATCCAGTCTAAGTGAACTAGTTTTTCTCTAGGATTCAATGCTATACCTACACTGGTGAAGACAAGAGAACCAGCATCTCAGCTTCCAGATACACGAAGCTTGAGTCGAAATAGTTCATTATTTTGATATACTGAGGTCAAATGAACAATGCCATTCGGATCCTGTATGGTCGTTTTGTAGACGCAGAGCACATGGATGACGCGAGATTCTCAAGTCCTAGCTAAGGGAGCTTGCAGTCCTATTTGGCACAGTGTTC